AATGTGGTCACAACTTTAAGTTTAATACAGGAAAGTAATACTAAATGCACATCACAATTTGTTTCTAATAGGTAATGGAACCTGCTAGGGAAGCCCTAAAACGGGCTTGACATTTGATCAGTTTTTATCTGAGAAAACTCTGTATGCATCATAAAAAAGCTTGCCTTTTTGCTCTACAGAGGAACTGTGTGTTTCTGCATGTGAACAGTGCTCTTTGCACTGTGCTGGCGGGATGCAGACAGCTTCTCTTTAATAGCCACAGACCCTCTGACCAGAAAGCGGATTAATTAAGAGGCCAGACAAGAATCCCCTCGGGGCGGACGCCGCCTGCACCTCCCCTAATACTGGTGCACACCACAAGGCCACGCAGACACTAAATTAATTAATAAGTAAATAAAGCAGAGGGAAGCTGTGTGCAACATTCACTCACACGCAGAGATGCAGGTGAATTAAAAAGAAAAGCTGGTCTCAGTGGTGGGTTTTGTACCAATCAAAGGTGCTTCAAAAGAGCCTTTATGCACATAAACTGGGAACTCAACACTCTCCTTGTGTTTGTTGCATTCAACAAATAACTTCTTTGTCAATATCAATGCCAATTCATTAATAACGCCCACATGAAGCCGCTCTGGCTGGATCAAAAGGCTGCGCAACGAGGTGAAACAAAGAACAAAAACCACGTATCATGATTTACGACAAACATTACCTGTAATTAGACGTTTGTATACACATTTTATATACATATATTTTTTTTCCCCAGGGTTTCCCCCAGTGTATTATAAGCCTGGCGGGCCACCAGGCTTTACTTGTTGTTGTTGTTGTTTTTTTTATGTCTGCATTTTTTAAGACTTTATAGTTTGTCTACAGATATTAATTTTCCAATAACACATAATTATCAAGTGATATTTTCAAATTTCCTGTCAACTTTAAACATTTTTAACTCAAAGACATGATGGGCTGCTGGGTGAATGACTGACCTAACATCCAACCACCAGGCTTAGCAAGTTTTCTAGGGGAAACCTTGTTTCTCCAATAACTAATTAAATGACACATATGTGACATAATATGATATAATAAATAGCTTGCAAGCCTGATCTCTGCATAGTTTCTCATATTATCTTCACTCCAGTGTTGATCAGTCTTTCCACATCAATTTATTTATTTCAATATTCTATTCTTACTTGATGACGATGATCTATTATTATTACTTTTCCATTAGTATTATTATTATTCCGAATAAATGTACGTTTTATTATTGTCTGTCATCGGTTTGTTTTATATTGTGTGTAAAACTTGTACTTTAATTCATTCTCTTTTTTCCTTCCACCGTATATCAGATGAAATCCGCTCAGGCAAAACTGTTAAATTTAATACAATTTTATTTTATTTTTTTTACTGGAGTTAAAGTCCAGGAAAAGAAGTGAAAGTGTTCTCTGACAGTCATCTGTCAGCACACTTCAGCCTGTGACGGTTCTCTGTGTCAATCGCAGTCCATCTACTTCCTCTTCCCTCTTGTAAGCTGGTGAATAGCAGGTAACTCGATCCGGTAAAAAGGAAACACTGTTTAGAACATTTAACAAAAAAAAAAACCCTTCAACTCCTCTAACAATTTTCTTATAAAGGCAGGCAAGAGTGAGTAATGTCTTCATGCCGCGCCGCACCTCATTAGAAATCATCTCTTTAATGCGTTTAATTATCCTATGTGGTCTTTGGCCGAAGTGGGCCCTGAAAAGGGATCTTCAGTATCTGATTTCTGGCTCATTCTATCCAACTGATTCTATAGATAACGTATCAAATAGCTTGTTGTTGCAAACAACACGAGAGTCGATATGCGACAAAGTGTGCTCTGACTGACCAGTGTCATTTATTCTCCTGGAAGATGGTGCGGCGCTTCGTGGGGCTTTTTGAGCAGACGGGCCTTGTGTTTCCAGCCCTCGGAGGAGGTTAGAGTTTCCTCGGGGGTCGTGAGAAAAAGGGCCCACTCGGAGAAGAAAGATTTTCGGCGTGAGCGCCACTCCAGAGTTTACCGGCCACAACTCAACATCAAGATCGGAGAAAGTCACACCTGAAACCCGAACCTGGCTCGGTTACGCTACGGTGAGAGGCACGACAGGGGCAACTGAGAAAACATCAAAACACTTGCAATTGATTGAATAAATGAACTTGAACGTGACGCTGGACATGTTGCTCTTACCACCATCTACTCTTATTCAACCCCGAAGAATAATTAGCTTCCTGGAGCTCAGATCAGAGAACAGACTTTAAAAAAACTTTTGTTAGCTTATAAGTGAGTGGCTTAGCACCAAAATGCCACAAATCTGGAATGAACTTACAGAAAACTGCAAAACAGAGTTCCTTTAAATCAAAGCTAAAAGCTCAAGAGTTCCCTTTGATTCATAATGACTGGAACATTGATCATATATTTGACATGTCTTTGTTAGATGATGGCATCTTACAAAATGTAATGTGTCTTACTTGCTTCATAATTGAATTATCTTTTTAAAATGTAAAATGCCTTGTTGCTGAAATGTTTTATACAAATAAACTTGACTAACTTGATAATGGTGCCAACAGAACATGTGAAGAACATTTTTCACCTCCTTCCTGGCTGTATGAAAAAGTGTGTCATGTTATCTCAAATCATTCGTGTTTCATTTGAAGGTGCATCCACTCCTGTGTTGAACCCTGAGTGGAAAATCTTTTAATAATGAGATGGAGACATTTCAGTCTGTGAAAAAATGTGAATATCCATGAAAGAAAGGCTTTTTTTTTCTTTTTTTTTTACACCGCTAGACTGTGTCAAATCATTATCTAGTTGAAGAAAACCAGAAGGAATTTTAAGTGGCTTTGAAAATATTCATACTTCTAGAACTTTCCCACATTATTTCAAGAAGGACCACAAAACTGTGCATAATTAGAAATTACGCTCATGAGTAAGGCTGGACGGTATGGCTGAAAACCTTATCACGATGTAAAGGCTTCGATACTGATAATTATTGATTAGGTTTTTGTTTCAAATATCTGAAATGCTGCCAAAGTGGTAGTGTGATCTTTCCTGTTTTATAGTTTTCATTCTATGTCAGTGTTTTGTTTTTTAAGCCTGTTACTCAACAGGTTATTGCTAGGTAACCAAAGAGAGAGTGAGTTCATCGATGCCATCAATCTTGCTTAGCTGGCCATCAGAGGTTGAGACGTTAAAGTCTTTCCTCTGCCTACATCTCCCAGAATGCTAATCTGATTCAGTGACCACATCAGAGTCAATACCGATATAAAAATTATTGATTTGGTGTTTGACAGGAATATAAATACCAATACAGCAAGAAAATGTCATAATTTTTATGTTCATTGACTAAAAACACTTTTTTTTTTTGCTTCTGTACCATCTGAGGAGCTGATAGGGACTGGATTAAAGAAAACTGTCACAACAGAGAGTTCTGGTGAGCCAGAGTTTGTTTACTGGCCCTAGCCGCACAAACTGAGCTGCTGTTGCCATTAATAATGAATAATGCATTTTCGGCAAGGCCATCCAGATACAGGACTTTTGCTCACATAATCTTCCTTTCCCCAGCCGGTTTTTAATCCACCGTCTGCTGGAATCTGGCTATCGGACATCTACAAGTAGATGAAAACGTTCGCACCGAGGGCGGCCTCCTGGAGCCGGGCCCAAACCCCGACAAAACCCTCGTCCATCTGTCTGCGTCTGGCGGTGGGAGCTGCGGTCAAAAGCACACTTAATAGTCCGACACAAATGAAAGCTCTTTTTATTTTGCACATGGGATAAAGAGCTCCTCACAATTCATTTTTCAATAACGCCTTGAAGCCTCTCCTGGTGCAGAAACAAGCTCGTCTACAAATCACTGACACAAAGGTGACTCTTCCATCTGCTGACGAATTTAATCTGACCCAATCATATTTATCTTTAAGTTCTGAAAACAGTTCAGAGCTAAAAGAACCATTTAATATCACTATTGAGATAAAAAAAAGACATGCAGCTGTTTTTGTTTTGGTAAGTATGAAAGGGTTTCCAAATTAAAATCAAATTCAAATTCACAAAATTGGTTTGTAAACGACAGATGGAAAGTACGTGTTTTTTCACCAGTGTTGCACATGAATATGGGATAGTTGCAGTTGAAACCAGATATTTAACCACATTGTGGAAAGAGTTACCTTCTTCTTAACGGTTCGACGTTAAATCTGACTAAACTTTTACCCCAGCATTTTAGGTCACATTGGGGTAACTTTTTTTTTTTTCACTATGTCCTTCAAATTCACAAGTTAGCATACATTAATATTACAATTAGGTGTGTGAGAATAACAACATCTCCTGGCATTGTTCCAGAAATGATTGCGGTAAACAATAATGTCGTTATTTTGAGACAATTTTCAAGTAATGTATAAAGTATATCGATAATGGCATAATAATATAAGTTTGCCCTCTCACAGACGCATTTTGTGAAGAACACTCAACACTGGAACTGGAAGGTATTTTAAATATCATCAAAAACAATGAACAAAACTGGGGCAGGGGGGAAACCCAACTTAGAACAAAAACCAAAAATAAAATGGATTATCTTATCAAAACAAAATTGCCCTTCAAAAAATGTTACTCATCACAATAATAATGAGCAAGTTCATTTTAATTTATCGTTAAAATTAACTGATTAATTAATCAGTTGACTGACTGCGACAGGCTTAAATACAATGCATTTACGCAATTTATAAAAGCCCAGATTACAATCTCATGGCTTCACAAGCTTCTAACAGAATAATTTGAAACAACCGAGTTAAATGGATGGAGGCACACCGAACGTCTCAAACACAACAGTTCCTTGTGTGACAGCATGAAGAAATAAATTTAAAAAAAGGAATCATGCATGATTCCAGAAAGAGAACAATGAACTCCACTGTTGATCCTTGGGTATCATTTTCACATATGTAAAGGTGCCATGTTCATCTACTCAAACTGTTAAATGTACAATGACGGAAACATCCAGATATCATACCGTTCAGGAAGGAGATGTGCTCTGTGTCCCAGAGGAAAACATATTTTGGTGTGCGCCTCAATCCCTGGAACAAAAAGCAAAAGACTCTGTTAAGATGTTGGCCGAAGCTGGCGAGAGAGAGCGTCGTTATCCGCTCGACTGAAAAGCCGCTCAACGATGAAGAAGCCAAAATTAAAAAATTAAAAAAAACCGATTAGAGTCTGGAAATACATTCAAGGAAAAAGAGTCCGATGAAATTGAAGTTTAAGTGTTTGGCTGCAATAACGATACAAAAATTTGAAAGTTTGAAACAGCATCCAGCTAAAATAAATGGCATGATCTGTAACCTTTCCCCAAGACATGAGCAAGGCAGATAAAGCTTAGGCACAAACACGTTTTCCAAATGGACAATCATCATAAGCATACCACTAAATTAGTTACAAAGGGGCTAAAGGACAACAAAAACAATGTTCTGGACTCTGATCTCAATCCCCTGGAAAATCTATGAGAAGATTTGAAGAAGTTGTGTGAAAGCAAGGTGGCCTACAAACCTACAAACCGGACTCGGTTACACCAGTTCTGTCAGGAGGAATGGGCCTCAATCCAAAACACTTAACCCAAGCCAGACAGTCCACAGGCAATACTACCAAAAATATTCTCTTTGCTTTAACATCAGAGGGTAAAAAAAAAGGTTACTTGTCTATTTACAGATTTCAACAGCAACCTCACACATCTTCTCAACCTTCCTCGTTTGTTGGGGAACAATGAGTTTAATTTCCCAAAAGTAATTGTTCTAATCAGTCTATTTAATCACGGAGGCTTTTTATTACCATCAGGAGCTACCCACACTAAGAAAGATGGAGCCGACAGGCCGCTCCAGTCACAACCGATGGCTTATGATGAGATGTGTGCACACAGGCAGCTTCCTCTCAATCCATGGAGTTTAAAAAAAAAAAAGACATCACTCACCATCTGTGCTCCAGTAAGATTGTCTCTTTATTTTCTGTGTGCGGGCTTTCATGTGAGGCTGAGCTTTGTTTTGAAAGCACATTTGACCTCCAAAAAAAAAAAAAAAAAAAAGAGAGGAGAAAAAAAAAGTGATGCCCTTTTTT